GTGTTTTTCTTAAGTTTTATTTTGTAGAGAGCAAAATGTGTGCTTTTTTAGTCCCACATGAAAAAGAAAGCAAGTGTGGCCATTATCATGCCTTATACTCTTAGAACAAAGGTGAAAATGATATTGCATCTGTTGGGCACGCAAAGCATACAAAGCGCATACGAGTGCGTGTGGGAGGGTGTAAGCGCAAGGGCACTTGATGGCGCATTTTGCACTCGCAAGGGCGCTTGATGGTGCATTTTGCACAAATGGATGCTTGTGCTATCATGGACTATACCCTCAGTAAGGTGACAAGTCCTCGTATCCTTTCTTACTTCTTTTATCCATATCCTTTTGGAGTTTAAAAATAACAGAATGGGAACAAAATTGTTTTCGTAAGAACAAGCTCAGTTACACTCTGACCTGAAGGCAGAACTTGACGAGTGGATGAAAAAGTAAGAATTATATTGGTTTCAGAAGAATTATATTGGTTTTAGAGTTCTAGATGTAAGTGGATCAAGGACGGTCATCGCAATACGTAATGTTTTCATGCGATCGCAAATTTTAGAAGAGGGAATAGTCCTCAAGCCCCAGACAATCGATTGAATTTTGTGAATGATTTTGTGGACCACCTTAGGTAGGCTTCCAAAGCCAGCACCGTACCGCAGATCAACATTGATGTTCAGGGCTTTAACTAAAATTCGTAAGACTGAATTAGAAGACCCTTCACATTGGGCAAATTCACAGAAGCAGTTTTTGCACTCTTCTTTTTTTTGGGTTGTTTTTTTCATTTTTTTGGGGGGGAGAGGATGGGCATGATATTTCTAAATTTTTGGACCAACCCATATTACATGAGCCCAAAGATGATCTGTACGTAATCTTCCCGAATTATGGGGGCCCACGAGAAGCAAGCAAGCTACCTTTCACGATTCAAACTGCCGGTATGCTTTTTTAAGTGTTGTGTATATTGAGATCGGGCTTTACTCCTAGTAGATGGAATATGATACAAGATTCTGGTTCACCCTCGAGCGAATTTATAGTGCATTTGGAAACAAAATGAGTACATGCAAAAATTGTTTGTGGTTAAATGAGGCTTTTTCTGACTTAGCAGTGCAAATTACTTGATCTGGGACAATACACTCTTTGATCATCCAAAATATTTTCTAATACAGCTCTAGAATTTCAGTAAGTCTCCATGTCAATTGCGAGAGACTTTGAATACTTCTGATAGCACTTCAATAAATTTACGATGGCTAAACTATGTTATACCTATCCTAACCACTGCAAGTTCGATTTATGGTTCACTATCCTTTATGATATGGTTCTTTCTTAATGGCTGACCCCTTCTAGAGTTAATTCCTTTTCTGATTTACCGATTTAATGTCTTGAATTTGACAAGGGCCATGGTAACCAATCTCTCCCTCTCTTGCACATCTTCTCTACTCATGATTGTTTTGTTCGCAAAAAACCACCCAACAATCACCTTTTATACGAGCCACCATAAGGGGTGTAGATAGAGTAAGACTTATTTGATTATGGGACGTGTAATGGGATATAGACCAACCACCCAAGACCCTTGTTAGGATTTAAGAAACCCTCTTAAATGTGGAAACAAGAATTCCAAAAGTTGGATCCCACTAAAATTGTGTATTTATTCAGCTAAAAACTTCTTATAAGTGTTACATATATCTCAAGACCTATCCGAGAAGGCATTTAGGTCATAGAGGATACATATGCATCCTTTTCGAAGTTACCCATTCATCAAAGGCCAGTTTTCATGTCCATTTTGACCGCGGTCAGGAGCAGTTGCTCTGCTTTGGCTCTTGCATGGTTAATCTTTTCCTCAAGAGAAGTTGCACTGCTTTGGCTCTTGTATGGCTAATCTTTTTCTAAAATTTGCAGGGTCATTCGTGCCATGTGCATGTGTATCATGTTTCAGCATAGACATATGAAACACATATACTTTCTAACAATAAATTATGCCGAAGTCCAACAGTTATGAGGCATAAATTTCACTGAGTTCTCTAATGCTTGAACACAAAGACCATGGATTTGAGGGTCAGAAGTCAGACTTAAGGCCTTTAGTCTGTAGTATTCTACTGCAATCAAAGACTTTTATACATACTTTGATCTTTTTCATCATAAACACAAACTTCGAATATGTAAACCGTAAAATTGATAATTTTGGGAGAGTTCTCGACTCTTCAACACTTTGATAACGCTCTCATGATTTTAAGCTCAGGAATGGCTTGAAAACTTTACTCCAATTGTTTCAAGGTTGATTACAAAGCTGTGGCTCAGCAAACAATAGCTCGGTGGTTATTCATACTCAAAATTTGACCAAGGTGCGGGTGTCTTTGGCTTTTGATGGGCCTATAACTCGATCTTTATGGCACAGTTTCTTCATTATTGCCTACCTTTGGTCATCTTAACCCAATTTTTGTTGATTGAAAGGGTTTGTACCCCAAAATAACAAAATAGTGCCAAGACGACTTTTCACCAGATTCTAGTACTCTAGCGACTTCGAGCCTCCAATAGATCCGAAACTTGATCATTTTGTAACCTCAGTCATTTTGACCCTAGAGATGATATAAATGTATTTCCTTTTTATGGGATTAGTGTGATTTTCAACATTGTAAACATTGTAACCAAGTAAATTTGACTATTATTTCATATTAAACATAACAATTAAGCATAAATTAAACAAGACTTACAGTAAATGAGAGAAACCATTCAAGACTTAGCCGAATTGGCCAAAATGACATTATATGGTCTAGCTCAGTCTGATGATGCGTGTGGTCTAACTCAGTCTGATGATGACCATTCAATAATAGTAAACTTTGACTATTATTTCATATTAAACATAACAGTTAAGCATAATTAAACAATACTTAGAGTAAATGAGAGAAACCATTCAAGACTTGGCCGAATTGGCCAAACTGACATTATATGGTCTAACTCAGTATGATGATGACCTAGCCTACTTAGCCAGCTTACCTAATTGGACTCCAGCCAATCCTGACAAGGCCCAAGCTCAGCCCGCTACCGCCTTTACCTCCATTACATAAAGAATCCATCACATAAGTGGGCAAAAACTACAATTCCTACATTACATAAAAGGGAAACGAGAGATTTTGATTCATTGGCTCTTATTGATAATAAAATGTGATAACCCCCATGTTTGGTCCTTCTTCAGTCTCTATGTGAAGTTCACCTCATAAACTGGCTTTTGGTTTGGATAGAAGAGTCCAAAGTTTTGCTCAATCCCAGCGTCCTTCTTGTTCTCATTGAACATTGCAAACACGTAGGTTTCCAAAGGCCCCGGCCTCTTCGGTGTCCCTTGTGCCGCATGTCGCACCAAGTTAGAGTTATAGGTTTGTGCATTCTCCTTTGTTGCTGCAAATCCACCATCCGAAGGCCAGCCACTCTCACTGACCACAATTGGCACCCCACCACTCCCTGCCTTCTCCATGGCAAAATAGACAGAGTCTACAATGGCATCAAAGAGGTGGCGATAATTGTTTTGCCCATCCTGCACCACATCTGAAGGGGCGGTAAACAGCGCGTAGTCCAATCTTATGTCCGAAGGGTTGTCTCTGTAGCTCATATAGGGGTATACATTCACTAGTAGTGGCGCCCTTGTTTTCGAGAGAAAGTCAAGGATGGGCCCCATGGTTGATGATGCTTCCTGCGAGAAGGAACCTTCAGAGGGAGGATATGATACACCCAGCACTCCCGTTGAGACCGATGTCGAGACCTTGATCCCGTCCTGTAATCCTGCAGAGCTCACTGCATTGTATATGTTTTGCATTGCAGGCAGGACATTACCGGCATTCTCTCCGGGGATGACCTCGTTGCCTACCGCAATGTACCGAAAATTGACATCTGGGAGGTATGCCTGGATGTTGTCCCTGACCCAATTGGCGGCAAATGTAGGATCCGAGGCTGCCTGCCCAAGGTTTTCTCTGGGAAGGTCGAGGATGACCTGAATATCAGACCCTCGCAGTGCATCAGATGCAGCAGCTAGAGGGTATTACAATCTCATTTTCCCTATACCCTTGGATTTGTAGAGGGCCACCACTTCATTAGGGGCCGGAAGGTTGTCGCCCAACATCCCATAACAGACACCCACCGGTGGTGACTGCGCCCCTGCCGTACAAGTAAGGAGATCAGAAACATAGATGAAACGAAAATCACAACTGTTGTTTCACAACTCGATCGAACATTGTACCATTGCATCAAAGATTCAAAACTAATGACTTCAACTAGCCGTGAGAACTTTTAAACTTGGAGACTCAAAAACTCATGAATGAAAAGAGTGCCAAGGAACTGACCACTCTTTCCTGGTCTTACTCTCCTAGTTTTCATTGAGGTTCATCTTCTTCAAATTTGTGGTATTCTTTTCTCTCTCTTTTACTTGAAACCAGGAACGTTTGATTTTTAATTTTTTAGTGTGTGTTAACAAGAATCTATTGAACAAAGAATTTCTTCAACAAGAATTTGGGTGTTAACAAGAATTTCTTCCTTCTTGTATCTTTTATTTGACTCCTTTTTTTTTTTTTTTTACATTTTCTCCTTGTACACTTCCATTCTCTCTTCAATAAGTTTTTGTGAAACCAGGAACTTCTGTTACATATTAACAATAGGAATAGCAAAAACTAGCTTTCACTTATTGATGATTAAACCACTCATGGATATAGTAACTGAGACCATCCAAACTAGCCCCATATTAATGCGTTTCTCTAATCATAAAGAAGAGAGAGAGAGAGAGAGAGAGAGAGAGAGAGAGAGAGAG